TGTTATCAATCCAAAGAAATGTATTTTTGGTTCCCCTTCCATTGAATTCTTAGGACATCGAATAACTGCCGAAGGCATCAGACCTACCGAAGATAAGATAAAAACTATTAAGAACTTTCCCGAACCTGATTCCTTAAAGAAACTTAGACGTTTTCTCGGGATGTTCAACTTCTACCGACGTTTTATTCCATCATGTGCCTCCATAGTTCAGCCACTGACCGACCTACTTAGATGCAATTCGAAGAAATTTCAGTGGTCTGAAGAAGCAAAAGCAGCATTTAATAATGCAAAAGATGCCTTATCCAACGTTGTAATGTTATCTCATATCAACCCAGAAGCTTCACTCATTTTATGTACAGATGCATCGCAGGTAGCAGTGGGAGCAGTTTTACAACAAAAGTTCAATAATGACATCACTCCACTTGCTTTCTTCTCCAAAAAGTTGGAACCTGCGCAAACTCGTTACAGCACTTTTGGCAGAGAACTGTTAGCCATCTACCTAGCAGTGAAACATTTCAGCTTCTTACTACAAGGTCGACATTTTACTATCTTAACCGACCATAAGCCTCTTTGTTATGCTTTCACCACTTCGTTGGACAGACACTCTCCGAGAGAAGCCAGACAACTGGATTACATCTCACAATTCTCAACAGACATCCAGTTCATCAAAGGAGATTCCAATATCGTAGCCGATTCTTGTCTCGATGTGACGTTAATCACCTATCTTCGATAGATATTAGCTTAGACAATATTGCCAAGCTGCAGAAAAATGACGCCGAACTCCATACTTGTAGACGAAACTCCTCCCTACAGTTGCAGGATGTACCTATTCCCCTGTCTGATACAACTATCGTCTGCGACGTTTCAACGGGCGTTCATAGACCTTTTGTTCCACTAAGTTGTCGAAAACCTTTGTTTGAACATCTACATTCATTGTCTCATCCTGGAGTGCGTGCTACGGTCAAGTTAATCAGCGAGCGTTTTGTTTGGCCCAAGATGAACTCCGATATTCGGAAATGGGCCCGCCAATGCTTGCAATGTCAAAGATCCAAGGTACATCATCATACCGTCACACCTCCAAAACAGTTCAATTTACCGGATAAACGATTTCAACACGTTCATATAGATATTATTGGACCATTACCGCCATCCAGAGGATTTACTCATATACTTACTGCGATTGATCGATTTACCCGATGGGCTATTGCTTGTCCACTCAACGATATATCTGCAGAAAATATCGCTTTGGTTTTCTTAGATCGCTGGGTGTCAAACTACGGAGTACCCACAACTATTACAACAGACCGAGGAGCTCAATTTCAATCAACTCTGTTTCGAGAGTTTACGAGACTCCTTGGAGTGAACCATATCTCCACTACAGCTTATCATCCTGCAGCGAATGGTCTGGTGGAACGTTTCCATCGACAACTGAAAAGCTCGCTTATGGCACAAGCTGACTCATCTAAGTGGAGTGAACACCTACCATTAGTTCTTCTCAGTATCCGATCAACTGTAAAAGAAGATTTGGGATGTACACCAGCTCAACTTGTGTATGGTACTACCCTCACATTGCCTGGTCAGTTAGTTCCGTCTAATGATTCAACTGAAGTAAATATCTCCGACTTCACCAACCGCCTTACCCAGCAATGCTTCAGCTTCGACCAGTAGCCCCTCGCCAATCACTTCAGAAAGTTCAAGTTAATAAGAATCTACTCACTAGCAAATTTGTATTTGTTCGCGTCGATGCCATTAGAAAAGGTTTACAGCATCCATATGAAGGTCCTTTTCTAGTACTTAAACGCACCGATAAATACTTCACGCTGAACAAACATGGTAAACCGGAGACTGTTTCTATCGACCGTCTTAAACCAGCGTACACCGACAGCGAATATGAAACACTAGCAACGCCGACACCAATGAACAATCAGAAAGTCAATTCAACTCCAACTCTCCCTCTCTTCACTCTCCCCCCTGTACAGACACGCAGTGGGCGGCAGATCTGTAAACCTGCCCGCTATGTTCATTTCATTGACTGACATAAACGTTAACCTCATTTAGACATTCTTCTCATTACTATTGTTGTCGAGATTCATTTCATTATAACCATAATATTTATTAGTATTATTATTTGCTGTTCGTCAACTGTACTGCAAGCACACGCATTCACCAAGTATATGTATATATCTATTTATATATGAATTTCACAAATGTTAACGAACATGTCATGGTTTTGTAGCGGTAAATAATTCCCCAAAATTATTGACCACAGCAATCACTCATTGGATGCTGACCACCACTGTTTAAGTCGACTTGTTTAGCTGAAGGCTTCCAGTCAAGCATCCCCGTCATTTGGTACCTCGTCGTGTCACGTGCACGATCACTAGCTAGCTAAGCGTTCGTCTAACGGCTGGTTTTGGTTACTAAATATATATCTTGGTTTGGACGATCAATTATTGGCTTTTGCTTTGTCTTTGGTACGCGAGAATAAATTAATTAGAAGTTGTTGAACGAGATATCCGTCAAACCTCGTCAACCTTTAAACTGGTGAGCCCAACCGCGAACTTCATCCACGATAAATCCGCAGATAACCCCGGTGAGTTCGTTCCATTTTGTATTTGTTCTGGTACCATATATTATTCGACATAATTTTCGTCATGAGCGATCTTAGTCCCAAGGTCATCCGTATCCGCTCAACTCCTAAAACCATTCAGCTCGTACCATACTGGCCAGATAATGCTGAAACTTGGTTTCTGCTAGCTGAAGCAGATTTTTGTGAGCATGGGATAACCGATCAACGTTCACAGTTACTTGCGGTTATTCACTCCCTACCGCGGGAATTCAGCAAGTACGTAACATCACAAATGTTGAGTCCCGAGGTAAGTAACTCGTACGAGTTGCTGAGAGCATCCCTCCTCAGGAGAAACGTTCTCACGGACCGACAACGTCTAGATGAATTATTTCGCAACATCGAGTTAGGAGATCAGTCAGCCGTGAGCATGCTGACAAGAATGAAAGAAGTCGTTGGCCAAAGTCAGTTCGACGAAGGACTGTTTAGAGAACTCTTCTTAACCAAGCTGCCACAGTCTGTACAGACCGTACTTGTGACACTTCAGGGCACTGTAATAGAGAACTTAGCTATTACTGCAGATAGGATTCTAGAAATAAGTAAACGGTCAGTTCCCAAAATACGCTCGATGACTAAGCAGACTTCGAGTAAGGATCCTGCAATGACAGAGTTATGCAACTCCCTTCAGCAGATGTTTAGGTCGAACATGCATTCTAACTCCTCCGACCATCGTCCTAAATCTCCTCAACGCAGGAACTCACGTGGTCGATCTAAGTCCAAACCACGTTCACTGAAAAACCCTGACTGGTGCTGGTACCACAACACTTATGGCCAAGAAGCGAAGTGTTGCCGTAAGCCTTGTAACTTCGGAAATGTCTCAAAGTTTGCGGGAAACTATCCCGCCGGCACGCGTTAGCGGCAACCGTCGCCGGTGGCACTAGCCGCCTACTTTACATCCATGATGTGATAAGCCAGACTCGATACTTAGTCGACACTGGCGCTGAAGTCAGCGTCCTTCCTGCTACAGCAGCAGATCGACAGAAGGAATCGACTTTCAACTTACAGGCTGCAAATGGAAAATCAATCGCAACCTTTGGTAGGAAATACGTCTGTCTGAACGTAGGTTTACGCAAACCTATTCGATGGATTTTCCTTCTCGCTGACGTTACAATGCCCATCATTGGCACGGACCTACTTAATCATCATGATTTACTTGTAGACGTCCGCCGAAAACGACTGATTGACAATACTACTAGTCTGTCTATCAAAGGCATCAGCTACATAGGCCCTAGTTTGTCACCAGTTAAGATAAAGGCAATCCTTGATCCAATTTTTCAACCTATTGTTGACAAGTATCCGGAACTTAATTGCCCGTCGACCGACCTACCGTGCATAACCAGCAATGTTATGCACCACATCATTACCACAGGACAACCTTTGACATCTAAAGCACGACGATTAGCTCCTGACAAACTGAGAATCGCCAGGAGTGAATTTGACCATAAGCTTACCCTTGGCATCATTCGACCCTCGAATAGCCCATGGGCATCCCCACTTCATATGGTTCCGAAAAAGGATAGCAATGATTGGCGACCCACCGGTGATTACCGGAGAGTGAATGCCAAAACAACCCCTGATTGCTACCCGTTGTCTCATATACACGACTTGACGGTAACCTTATCAGGTGCGACTATATTCTCCAAAATCGACTTGGTTAAAGCGTATAACCAAATCCCGATGGCAACAGAAGACATCCCGAAAACGGCTATCATTACGCCTTTCGGACTTTTTGAATTTCTACGTATGCCATTCGGTCTCCGGAATGCAGCCCAAACATTCCAACGCTTTATTGAAGAGGTATTTCACGGTCTCGACTTTGTATACGCATACTTAGACGACTTCCTCATTGCCAGTCCAGACAAGGAAACTCACCTCAGGCACTTGGACTTGGCATTTGACAGGTTACGCCAACATGGTGTTACTATTAATATTCAAAAGTGTCAAATCGGTGTTGACTCACTCGACTTCCTGGGTCACACTATTGACTGCAAGGGCATTCGCCCACTGGCTATTAAGGTTGAGCCTCCCAAGAAAACCCGTTCTGGACGCACCGTAAGGTTCCCAGAATATCTGCACACTTATTTGACTTAACGAATTCGTGTGATTCACGCAACTCACTCGTTTGTGGTACTAACTATTTTTTTTTGACGTAAAATATTTGTTTTATATACAGTACCACCGAACACAAAAAAATTGTTTTTTTAACAGTTCATGTAACATACACAAAAAAATTAATTAGATGTATTTTTTTTCGATGTTCTGAACTTAGCATTATTTTACTGTATAGTAAATGCACATCATTTTTTTTAACCAAAAAGGTCATTTCGTACATTTTCCTCGACATGGTTCTTAGCGTTCTTGTTTTCTTTTCCAGGTGCGACGGGCACTGGACGGGAAACAAACGAAGCACGGAATCCAACGAACAACACCAGGAAGCTATGTACAAACACCCTATTAGCATAGGCAGACAAACCAGTAGGCATACGACTAAGCCGCTCGGAAGATTTTTTTCACCCGAAAGGGAACCATCGAGTTTTTTTTACTTCCGGCTGGTTCTGTCTTAGGTTCCTCACGACCCCACTAGGGGGGAGTGAGCTGTAGCGGTAAATAATTCCCCAAAATTATTGACCACAGCAATCACTCATTGGATGCTGACCACCACTGTTTAAGTCGACTTGTTTAGCTGAAGGCTTCCAGTCAAGCATCCCCGTCATTTGGTACCTCGTCGTGTCACGTGCACGATCACTAGCTAGCTAAGCGTTCGTCTAACGGCTGGTTTTGGTTACTAAATATATATCTTGGTTTGGACGATCAATTATTGGCTTTTGCTTTGTCTTTGGTACGCGAGAATAAATTAATTAGAAGTTGTTGAACGAGATATCACGTCAAACCTTTAATATCCGTCAACCTTTAAAGTTTATTATGTACATAAATTTTTCATTTAAAATTATAACAAGTTTTGATTTTTTTTTTAAATTCCTGTATGTGCTTGTATGTGCTAAACTTTATACGACACGGATGCATGCCATACATCCTGATCTAACTTTGTATCCTTATTGTTGTTATTGTTATTTTTTTGTTATCCTTATTGTTGACATTGTCCCTTATTTATATTGCTTATATTCATATAATCGTCCACGAGGAGAGTACTGATGGTCCTCCGGACCTCTAAGAGGGGTAGCCCTGTGGAGTCCTAAAAAATAAACTTATCCAAATTTTACTACTATGTAAATAATGAACATATTGTACACCACTTTGTTTTAACCATAAACTCTGTACTTTGAACTTTACCTCGGGTTTTGAATAAATATATAGTTCTGCCTTCGACTCTCCGTCTTCTCCACCATCTCAACTGCCGTCGATCAATTTTAATCGCCTGCTTTCTATCTCAAATTTTTGCAGGAGCACCGTAGTTCTTCCTACGTCCTTTGGTCGACCTCCGGCAACGTCAACATTGGAGAACTAGTACTGGAGCAGTCTTCCCGCAGCACATGGAGTCTATAACGTTTATTGTGGACTTTGGATCTTTGTAAACCCAAGTAACCAAACTTTAATACATTCTTCCCGTAACTAAACTGATTTGGTACTTTATTTTCTATTTGAATTTGGGTAACTGAGCTAACCGAGTGAAAGGTCCACCACAGCTGAAACAACTCTGATGAGCAAACCAAGTAGGTTCTCATCAACTTCTTAAAATGCCTAGAAGAAGCAGTTTGCTGAACTAGTATGAGCCATGCTGAAAACCAGCACTGAGTTCTAGTATGTGCGCTCAATCTAACCGATTCAGAACAGTTTCAGAATTTACTCACTATAGAATGTTAGAGTCGGTTCAGAATTAGCTAGATTTAATTCAGAATTAAGTAACTTTGGGACGCTGAAACATGAGAAACACCATAAATAATTGTAAATGTAGACGGGGAGCTAATGATGGGAGAAATGCAACCAGTAGACGCGATAACGCATCGTCACCTTGAAACCTGCCTGTCAACCGCCGTAATTTCGTGAACTCGAAAGTGAAATAAACAAGTGATATTCGCTTTTGAGTGATCAGATTGTCTTTTCATTTGCGGTAATTTCAAACATTATTTATGTGCTTGGTGAAGTTTTTTCAGCTCTCTTAGCTGACATTTAGCAGTGACTAGCATTACTGCTGAACAAATAGACTTCCAATATCCAATATCATTTTTACGAGCTAGTATAAACCAATTCGATTTCTTTGTGCTCCCCTCTTGATTGTAAGGTATAAGTTCCTGGTCTTCGGTAAACTTCTGCGTAGCTCGTCCCGCCACTCGATTGCCGTGACTCCAAAAGGAGTAGTGCTGGGATTAATTATATGTGGTTTGTAGTATGAGGTGTGTTAAGACTGTTACTACTGTGAATGGAGTTAATTCTTTCACCAGTTAGTCCTCCGGTATCGTCGTCAAAAGAAAAGAGATAATAATAAATATAATTAATGAGGTTATTCAGACTAACAGACAGAAAAAAAGAATTAAGAAAAGGTAACAACAGTCAGCTGATTAAATTTGAAGAATGATATAAATAATGTATATATACATATATATCGGTAATAATAATAATAAGTGTAGTTAAAGTTGTCAGGAGAGTAATATGAGAGAGAATTGCAGGAAGTAAAACGACAAGTTTAACTTTCTACCCCTGAATGGTGTATGTGATTTTGAGGGGATGGGCCATTTGGATGCAGTCCTTGTGTCGCTGCATGGTTGTCCGGCCTTCGCTTAAAGGCGTCCACAGACGGTGCCATAGCTACATCTGCCAGTAAGGAATTCCAGGGATGGCGAACCCGCAGTGAAAAGAAGTGGGAGAGCACCCGGGTCCTTGCCCTATGGTGAGCTGTCCTTCTGGCATTATCACGAGGGAGCCTATACCTACCCAATGGCAGAACACCTTTGTTTGGCTGATTCTGGTCATTTGTTATTTTGTAGGCAGTGAATTAAATCCCCCCTAAGACGTCGGTAGCTAAGTGTGAATAGGCCTGATTTCTTCAGCCTTTCATCATACGGTTTATTTCGGAGACCAACCACTCTTTTTGCTGCCCGTCGTTGGACTCTTTCCAATAGGTTGGCGTCTCTTCTCAGCATTGGGGGTACAATAATATTATGCACCTCAAGGTGTGGTCTGACGTATGTTTTGTACAACATTAGAAAGATCTCAGGAGTGAGATCACCTAAGTGTCTATGTGTAAAGTGTATGACCGCATATGCTCTCGCCACATCTCTCGTGTAATTTACGCTTGTGTCCATTTTTTCCGTTAGAACTAGACCTAAGCCGCGTTCCTACGTTGTGCAGGACAAGCTTTCATTGCACAGGGTGTAACTTGCATTCTGAAGTCTACAGGTGCGTAACTTCACTACTTTGCACTTTTTCAGGTTGAAAGTCATGCCACTGGCCACCGCCCAGTCTTCCAGAAGGTTAAGATCTTCCTGCAGCCTATCTGGGTCCTCCGGACACTTTATCGCCCTCCATATCTTTACGTCGTCAGCGTATAGGAGAGTCAGGCAGCTCAGACGGCGTGGTGGATCATTGATAAAAATCAAAAACATCAGTGGTCCTAGGATAGAACCCTGCGACACTCCTGATGACGAGCTGTGCCAAGATGATCGGACTTCATTGACCTTAGTGCGAAATTGCCTGTCAGCTAGTTAGTCCTTTAACCATGACAGAAGTGGCTCACCTATACCTGCCTGGCTTATTTTGTGTAGGGGAATGTCATGGTGAACAGTGTCAAATGCCTTCTCAAAGTCTAGGAAGACCATATGGACTGGAACATTCATATCCCAGCGTGATGTCCAATCGTCCTAAGCTGGTAGTAGGTCAGTAACTCAGGATCTGCCATTTCAGAAACCGTGTTGGGCTTCATAGAGTATATTAGATCTACCGAGGTGTGAGGTCAATAATACTTTCCAGTACTTTTGATATCACTGGGAATAGAGCTATTGGTCTATAACTAGTGGCATTTTGCCCATACCCACCCTTGAGGATCGGAGAAAGGATGGCTCTTTTCCGCTCCCTTGGCAGTTTTCCGAATCCATTGAGTGTTGGAACAGGCTGCACAGGGGCCTACAGACAGCTTCGGTGCACTGTTTCAGAACAGATGGCCTGATGTCGTCACAACCTGGGGACTTCGCAGGCGTGAGTTGCTGTAGCTCCCTTAGTACTATTGCGGGGTTTATTTGAGGAGTAGCCACTAGGTCTTCCTCCCGTGAAATAGTAGTACTACAATTTTGTTCCGTAACGGTAATACCCACATTGCTGTTTGGCTGTTTGGCGAAGGCTAAACCGAATGTTTCAGCCATCTCCAGACTAGTGAGATATTGACCGTCCGGGCCTATTAAGGAGAATACACCCTGGTTGGTTGGATTGCTTTCCGACATGAATCAGTACTAGTTTTGAGGTTTACTAGGATATTTTTAGCAAGGTTACCCTGGAATGAAACCCTCTCCCTCTTGACTCTTGCATAGCACCAGTCACCAACGTCTCGCAAACCGTTAATGCCCAGCTCTTACTACGCTGGGCCTCACGCTGTTCCTCGAGGCTTCTCAGAAACGCTTAGTACGAACGGACGCAAAAACCAGAACCCAGTTCGGTGACTCGAGAATCATTTATTCTAACACCAACATATAATCAATGTTACAACTAAGGTTTCTAACGGTTGTCTCCTGACTTCTTTCTGAACAGCGACCGATGAGACGATGACTAGCTGATTGATGCTTCCGCGAAAATTGTGGAAGCTGGTTTTGAGCAAACAACCATGAATTCATCGTTCAATCTTCAACTACATTGACATTCCCCGGCAAAAAAGGATCCATCACTTTTTTCCATCACGACCAATACAAACAGAAAAGCCAACACACCACAGGCATAACCACGGCACAATCTCACACATCAATGACGACCTGCGCTTTCCAGATAAAGGCCTCCTCTTGCAACACAATCGCCGCTTGCTAGAATGACTCTTGCAGAATGCAACGTGACCATAGCAGCACCTCATGATACTCTACGCATATCCTCTTATCTAATCACTGCCAATTATCACTGCGATCGCTTGTCACTCATTCTGCCTCAATTCTAGTAATGGTGACGTATGCAAGCCTCAGTCGTCTACACTCCCGCTCCCCGGCGTGTGCGACCACAGCTAACTACTATCTCCGTATGCATTTCATTCTCAGCAATAGCCTCACCGGCGTATGCGACCCATCTGCTGTCTTTAACATCAATCAATTCATTCACGGATGTAGAAGACTCGAAACAACTTCAGAAGTAATCACGACGAAAATTTTAACAAAATTACGTAATAACAACAAGGTACGAAGACAACGAGTAAACACAATGAATCCAAAAAACACCAATTGATATGACACACCACACGTATATACAAATAGCACAAACAACCTCGCCGATCATGTCTTGGTGGAATTCCTTTGAAGAATTGCAGGACTTACACCAGTACGCCTACAACCCTTCACAGGTTGACGATTGTAAATTTTAGAATGTCCGGACACAATCAAGATTAACCAACAATTACAATAATTGGAACCCACACAA